CGGTAGGACGGTCTAGACCGCAGGTTCCACTGACTTAGCAGAACTGGTAAAAATATAATGGGTTTATCAATAGTATGACAAACCACTGGAAGAAGCTGATACACAAAGGAAGAGAATAAGAGTAGTACAGAAGAGCTAATACAGAGCAGTGAATAGAGGAACTGTTGAGGAGCTATTGAGGAACGAACTAGACATCTTAGACCCGAAACACGAGATATGGTGATTCGTACATCCCATGGGTTGGGTTCAAGGCTAAGAGTGTGACAAAAAACCTAGGCCGGGCGCCTGGAGGCTACACGTCCCCCCTTATCGTAAGTGGCGTCCCGACACTTAACAACTATTAACAACTATTAACAACATTACTATTAAACTCAACAAAACCTGACCTAACTTAACTTAACCTAACTTAACTAAACTTAACTACATCTACTAACACTTAACAACTACAACGACGATCTATCTTGATTTCTTCTTCCTTGTTTTTCCTTATGGTCGTTGTCCAGAAGGTCCTTGCCCATGTGATCCTTGTTCATGCGTCCTTGTCCATGCGATCCTTGTCCATGTGATCCTCTTCCAGATTTCTGACGCCGCAACAAGTGTCCACTCCTTTTTGTTTGATTCCGTTGTGTCTCTTCTCTTGTACGAATAGTTCGGCAGGAATGTGCTCTGACATAGTCGACCATTACAAGAAAATCCCAAAATGTGCGAGGATATCCAGTAATTCTGCGCACTTTTCCATATCACTTCGCATTGGAACTCTTCAGTTTTTTCACAACATTCTTGTTTACTGATGCGTTGAAATCAGCTTCATCTTGCTGTTCCACGCTTATTCGTTTGACATCGACGAATCTATTCTTTGGCTGTTGTTTCTTTTTCAGCTTGTGCATCTTCATAGCTTTTGTCAGTTGCTTCATATCAGCCAATGATTCGTCCAAGATTCTGTCTTGATTCTTGGAATAGTGTTTCATCTTTCTGCGCTTTGTGCGCCTTGTTTCTTCATTTCTTTCTTGGCCCTTCAAAGGTTTCCTTCCTACTTTTGGCTTCATCTTGTTTCCTCCAAGTAGTCTATCAGTTTGATATCTTACTACATTCAAGGGATCTTTTAACGAGTCCCTGAGCAAATCGTTATTGGTATCACTTCGAATCACTTTGACACCAAAGTTGCATAGAACATTTGTCCCCAACAGCTCATTTAGCGATCTGGCGACATATACCGGAATCTTCTTGGATTTGCCAAACAATTCCACAGGCATCTTGATTGCGTCCAAGACCTCTATTATGTTGCCAAAAGCGTCGCGTATCGTAGCATCAGATACAGCTCCTGAGATTCTTTCCACATAAGTATCTAGATCGACTCCAGCTTCTTTGGCCCTCGTAAACAGCTTCAATGATGCTATGGACACCTCGGATCCAGTGTCTATGAGTGCGTTCTTCCATATTCATTACTTTTGCCGGCACAGCTACCTTCTTACCGACAAATTCCTCAGCACTCTTCCTGACACCTGTGGTAGCGCATAACCACCTATCAAGAGCAGTGGAGAACGAAGATACCTTGTATCGTTCAGTTCTTTCTGCTTTGCCCTTTGTGGCGTTCTGCAGCGTGCACTGTCTTGCTTTATGCCCTGATTTGCCACATTTGAAGCAATTACTTTTCTCCTTGCCTTTTACGGTCAATCTTTCTCTACTTTCACCATGATCATCGGCCGACTCCGAATCAGACCATTGTCTCGGTGAAGCTTGATTGCCATAAAGCTTTTTGCTATGCATATCGCTGCCCTGCTTGACTTCCTTTCTATGCAGGTTTCTCTCCAGCCTCAGCGCTGCTTCTTTTACTTTGTCATAAACGACATCTCGCGGGCTAGTCTCAATCGCTTCAGCCAAGATATAGCTTCCTTCCTAATTAGCTAACTGGGAATAAGAAGTCCCGCTTTCTGGAGTGCCACCCCATCCCCTTTTTCTTCATTAGGGTAGGCTTGACTGCACGTCCTCTCCAGTACATAGCAGAAATCACTTACTGTCTGATTTCTTTTCATTCTCAGATTCCTCAGTGTAGCCAAGGCTTTTACACGAGAAGTGTTGCCTCCTTCAGCTAACCTTTCGCTCATCGCCTGGACTACGCCGTCGAAGGAACCTTCTTTTACACTTTGCGGTAGTGTCTCAAATAGATTCAAGGCTTCCCTTTTCAGAAAACTTTTGAGAAGCTGTACTAGTATTTCATCATCCCAATGCTTCCTTGGGTACTTCAACAGGAATGATTCCAAAGAGTTGCTGAAACTTTCATTTGCTTTACCATGAAAAGGTTTTACGTCTGGTACTGTAGACGCCAACATGACTTCTCTCATGGTAAACTCGGAATTGGAATTTTGTGACGCATCTTGCAATCGGACATTATGCACATCCGTGTCCAACTGTTGTCCATTGCTTCTGCCCAACTCTAACCTGTGCCTATGCAGGAGGTCTTCAGTGCACTACCTTGCGCATTCTGCACTGTCGGCACTTGGCGATCCGATATAAGTGTGTTACTTTCCTTATTTAGGTTCGCAAATCTTTGATATTTGCGTCGAACTATATGATCAGAGTTGCCTTCTGAAATGTCTGTTTCTCGATCTGCATCATTGTCAGATAGGTTCGTGCTGGCTCCATGACAGCCGCAACCTCTGCTCACGTTTCTGAGCTTTAACCTGAGGCACTGAACCTCACTTGACACTTCCTTGGCCTTTTCCTCCAAGTCTTTCTCACTGCAGTCTTTCTCACTGAAAAATACTTCACTTACTACAAGTTGGTTGCACACACGGTTGCAATCAACTTGTAGTAAGTGAAGTATTTTTCAAGGCAACGCTCCAGCTTCTCTGGTGACATCAATCCAGCCTTTGCAAGGATCTCCAATGTCTCAGAGTCAATCTGCGTTCCTCCTAGGCACCTCTTGTGCATACAGAACTTTCGATGATTACTCTTAATTTTGTTCTGCGATTTCGATTTGCTCTTCTAGCTTTGTCACAATTGCTTTTCTGCGTTTATCACTTGAGCGAAAAACTGTGTTCAGTTCTTTTTCGCACTCTATGTTTACGAGGTTCAAGCAATCATGTATTTCCTTGTACATCTCTGCCATTAACGGGATTCGCTCTTCTCCCCGTTCATTAATCACCTCGTTATCTATACTTGGCTGGGCTCTATGTTCCTCTTCCTCAATCATCATGCTACTCAAATCTTTCTACAGCAAACACTCTTTTGACTGTAGGATTCGATCGAGACTACAAGCGAGCGAAGTGAAACTCGAATGTACTCAACAAGGCACCGAGTAGCTCAACCAAACTTCCGTAAAGTATTGGTTCTGTGATGCTACGCACTCGCGGTAGCTCTTGCAATTCGTATAAGCGGCCTTAAGCGCGCTCTATACCGTCAACGCTAATCGACCAATAGATCGATAGGTTACGCGGGGATACGTCCGCCGCCTCAGAAATCAACATGGGGACCACTGGTGCCCAATCTATCGGTCTAAGACGCGATAGGCTTATGCGGGATACAATCGCCGCTTCAAATCGATTTGGAGGTCGCTGACGCCCTAAACTTAATCGACTTTGGAGGTCGTTGACGCTCCAAAATCTTCTTCTGGAAGGCCTCCGATGCTTCTACAGTTGTCGGTGCCAAGTCAGCGGTTCGGCCCCCAAGTGGCGGTAGGGCGGTCCTAGACCGCAGGTTCCACTGACTTAGCAGAACAACTGGTAAAAATATAATGGTTTATCAACAGTATGACAAACCACTGGAAGAAGCTGATATACAAAGGAAGAGAATAAGAGTAGTACAGAAGAGCTAATACAGAACAGTGAATAGAGGAACTGCTGAGGAACTACTGAGGAACGAACTAGATATCTTAGACCCGAAACACGAGATATGGTGATTCGTACGTCCCATGGGTTGGGTTCAAGGCTAATAGTGTGACAGAAAACCTAGGCCGGGCGCCTGGAGGCTACAGCTCTCAAAAAATACCAAAATTTCCGACTCACGCTTTTTGTCATGGTCAGGTTCGGCTAATTTTCTATATTTCTGTACTGATTCCCCGAAGATGTACAAGTAACAGATAAATGGAGCAAACCCTATAGGACACAAAACATTTTTTTCTTTTTCTTAGTTTGCTTCTTAGAGTTTCTAGAATCAATTTTTTAATGCTAATAGATTTCATATTTGGTCAACTCAAAATCACAGAACAACAACAGGCAAGCAACTCGGGTGTCTTTCGACGCAGATTTTTCCCCTCTTTCAACCAGTTGTTTTCGGTTTCCGGCTCATGAAGTTTACCGGGATGAAATCGTTATAATTCAGGTTCTCCAAGCGCCCCAGGCTGTACTCGAAATTTACGAAAGTTGCTGAACTGAAGCGGCAAACGCTCATCTGCTTTGTAAAATTAGTGCCAAATCATAATCGGAAAATTTATTGGAGTTTGATGCATTCTGAGTCCATTGAAAAATTTCTAGAAAATTTATGACGAGCTATAGAAAGTAGAAATCGTGCTGTTTTCTATAGAGTTTGCTTAATCCACCTGTTACTTTGGACTCCTTCGGATGATTGTTGTAAAAATTTAGAAAAATTGTGAAACTTGACCTTCTCAAAAAGGATGGGTTAATTTTAGTGCTTTTTTGAAGCTTATCGAATATTGTGCAATGCTCATATAATCATTAGAAAATGAAATGCTGCATGAAAGCTATCAAGTTCTCCCAGAAATCTTGCTTCCACAAAATGTAGTGTTCACTTGAAAAAGCGACATTACCTTCGCAACGACCTAATTCTAATGCAATCAAACGCTTACAGCGGTTAAGCACTTCTGGGTTGAGACCTTGCTTTTCTTCTGAATTAGTCGAGAGAGCTGAACAAGAGGAAAGGGAAAGCAACATGAACTCCGCTTCCCATTGAAATGCGACAGGTAGGTAATGTGTAATGTGACAAGTAATGTAATGTCAGGTAATGTGACAGTTTGGAAATCCTTTACCTGTAAGTAAACTTACATTGCGTAGTTTTGCGCATAATCCTTCGTCAAAGTGGCTCCTTTCTTTTTCTCAACAGATTTTCTAACTTTTTTTTCCATACTACAGTTCCAGAACTGAAATACTCAGCAATCATCGATGCTGACTCTCTTTCGAAAAAGCTTATAACAGCCGTGACTCCCACTGACTTGAATATTTAGCTTGATAAGGAAATGCTCAGTCTAAGAACAAGAGATAAGATGCTAGGCCAAAATGAGTGATAAATACTAAACTCAAACTGAACAGTAATCCTCGATGAGCACCTAAGATACAGTGCAACATTCGGCGCTCATCTTGGCCATTCTGCTCTCATCTCATTCGGAGGCTTACAGATTCAAGTGCTTATAGAGATTATGCATGGTATTGAATCTTCTGAAAAATCTGCCGCAAATCAGTAGTTTTTTCAAAGTCATTACATTCCCACGAACTTTGTGAAAACTCAACATAGTGCTAAAAAATCATATCATGACAGAGCTGTTTGTGGTAAAATCAAGCAAATTCTCAAAATTACGGAATTTCGGTCCGAAATAAGGTCTGTGTGCCATTTGCCTTTGGAAAATATGAGGATTGCTATGATCGAGCCGCGGCGCGTCTTCAAGTTTTTTTTGTTGGGCTTTAATGGAAGGTGAGTGGTCCAAAAAAGGAACAGCGATTCTCTGGGCGTCGCCATCATAGAAAACAATGACGAGTTCGGTCTATGTAGCAATGCGCTGTCATTCATTATGCTAATTTGCAAGGATAGTATAGTGATGAGTAGGCGACAAAGGGATTGAGACTTTTAACGGCGAATTCCTAGTGCCTTTTTCAGCTTCCCTCTCTTTCCTAACGGAATTTCCTAAAAAGGGTAAGTGTCCCACCACTTTTGATCATCCCTCTTGACGTCGGTCAATTCCGAGGAAATTTTTTCACCACAATTTTACTTGTTGGGTCGAGCCATTTTCTTTGAATCTAATCAGAAAATACGCCAAGGGATTCCGCTGTTAAAGAATCCGTACCGTGTTGCGCCTTACGTATGAGAAATTCGGCCTAGCTATTGTTCCTCGAAAAACTGAGGAGCGGCTTAGCTGTCAGCATCCAAAAAAGCAAAAAGTGTGCCTTGTACTCGCGAAATTATGGGATTTCAAAAATATGTTCAAGACTCACAGGTGCAAAATATAAAATGTAGTCTCAGTAACCAAACTGGAAAGACTCACCAATTTGTACATATTTTTCGCCTTCTTTAAGTTATCGCCTTCAGGAGACTGTTTTGTGGCTATGTGCTCCCTCATATCATTGAAGACCTTGAGTATTGAATCGCGTTCGGTTGCGTTGCTTGGATTGCTTGCTGTAGAGCCTAGTTTTGTGCAAGCTGCAAACATCAACGTTGTTGTGTAGTTTCATGTTATACGACTGTCACAAGCAAAGCGAGTGGAGCACTTCATAATAGTACATAAACCTCGTTCTTCCTATTCGATTTTTGAATCTTACTGTAACGGGATTTTGAGTACGTTGAATGAATGATTTTTTGGAATAACCATATGCTCTATGTGCAATAGGTAGCATAATGAGGTAAGTGTATTGTTGCTCGACTCGTTGCTTGAAAATATACCTTTCACTGGTACAATTTAATCGTTTATAGTAAAAGTCTTCATTTCATTGAGATTATACAAGTAAGGAACTGATCACCATTAGCTTCAAAAGATTTTATGGCGGGCGGTTACATCCATGGCACACCTTCGAAACATCACAGTGAGATGAATGAGCAGGATACTAGGCATAACTTTACTTGCTTCATTACTTCGAAACATCATAGCGAACTGAGCAAAATATTAAGTACACTTTACTCGCTTCATTATGAGCCATATAGTGTTGAAATTGAACAAAGATGAGAGACTGATGGAAGTTTACAACAAAGTTGGAAGATTTGTCAGGTAATAAAATGCCAAAATTCATTCGTAAATCTTCTTCTCGCGCAAGAAAAGGCTAAACGGAGGTAGAGATGTCGAAAAATAGCTATTTTGGACATGAAAAGAGTGTGGGCAAGCGGAATAAGCGTGCCTACCAGTAAGGATGCGATAAAAGGAGAGTTTCCTCCAGCAAAACTCATGGGGCCGCATGCGTTAACATCTCCGCCGGGGAGGGGATCGCTTCTTACAAGGGAAGTACCCTCCGTCGAAGTGAGATTTCGACAGCAACGCATACATTCTTCTGGTCTTGGGGCACTACCACCAAGCCCGTGTTCCCTGCTATGATCTTCTGGAAAAAGTCATGAGCGATGACTTTCCCAGGATGACCACTGCCCTCTATGACTATGGTCGGCCAAGCAATGGCCCGTAGTAAAGCTCGATCAGTTGAGGTGAACTCAACTTATCCCATCAGTTCACCTTAGGTGAGGTGAACTGATCACCGTCCACGTTCCCATGCTATAAGATGGTCAAGTCAACTGATAGTTGACCATCTGTCCACCTGCCGCAGTCAGTTCTTCCACATCAGTTCACGTTCAAGTCACCTCAACGTGAACGGATGTTAGAGTGATCCAAATAGTGTGTAGAAGAGGAGACGCAGACGAGAGGTGACTGCATCTAACATAAGTTGCTCCTGAGTAACTTACGATACACACAACTTTGCCAAAAAATGCAGAAAAAATCGGCGCAAAACTGCACAATACCGGCGCCCGAAAAGGAAAGGATCGATGAACATGTGATTTTGGCGACAAAAGCAAGGATAAAAGTTTTCTTCTTTTTCTTTGCAGAGCAATCTTAGTTTCTTGTAAAAACTACTTTAGAAGAAAATCTACTATTTATTACGTTTTATTTATGTTCCAAAAATTTCAGTTTTTCATGAATTCTCCGTCAAAATATGTCAGTTTTGTTTTATCTGTCCGTTTGCTAAGTGATATCCTTGTTAGCGGTCATCATCGATTTTTTTCGACAGTGGCCGCTATCAAAGATTGTCCGGCGATGCAGCAAAAGTTGTGGCGCTAGCCGGTGTCGAACCACGACCGCGCGCGTGTGACTCCAATCGCTTATCCGTTTGACCAGACCAGCTCAAGTGGTTGGTTTTTTGAGAACACATGTGGTTATCATGTCTAGGAAGCGATCCACATCCAAATCAATAGCTCACTGGATGCTGGACTGAAGTGCGATGACCTCAACTCCGGTCCGCGTCGAGAGAGATGCCCGGATGGGGGGTTTACTACAGGCCAATATGTGTGAACGGAAGGCCGAGTAGCTGCGGAGACTATGGAGCAGGTGAGGTCAAGAGTTCGGCTCCCCTATGAAGTCAAGACTTGCATTTTTGTAAATGATTTCTTACAAATGACGCTCTTCTAGGCAAGGAGACCTTTGTAGTAAGCCAACAAATAATGGCGCTTTTCCATCCATGCAACAAAAATCCAAAGTTGTGAAATTTACTAAATCTCGGTTTATAGAGATTATTCGAGGCTAAAGACAAATTCTATATTCTAAAAAAGAATAGAGATAAAGATGTACAAAAATGTGAAAATATCATACGCTTTTACGAGAACTTTCATGGTGGAGATAAAACGACTTGCAGAGCCAAAAGGTATTCATTTATAAACCGTAAATCACCATAACTCAAACGTCACCTTTTCTTAAACAGGGTGCCGAAAATTTGTAGACCGATTTCATTGAGGTGCAATAAGATGACCCTCACATCAAAACTACTGTAACCACCTCGAATAAGTTTGTTAAACGGTAAAAGTCTGATATTCGTGCTCAGCATCACGAATAACATCAGAAACTATGAGCCGCATGCATTAACAACCCCGCTGGGGAGAGGATCGCAGCTTAGAAAGAAAGTTTTATATCCTGAAGCTCCAACCTTTTGGATTTCATGCTGTTTACCCATCCGTAAGTATTCCTAACATCCTTCACCAGGAACATATTGCACGAGAGAGAAGCTGTGTAAGCGCATTTTTTAGCATTTTGTATGATCCCCTGCTGATCCCCAGCAGCCGACCATCTTTTCTCTAAAGTCACTTTTCTTTCTTCGAAGTCAACGAAAACATTCCAAGCTGTACTGAACTTCTAACACAACAGTGCTAAACATGTTGCTGATAATAACCGATGAGTTTTTGGAAAATCGAATTTTTCGGCAAACCTCAACATTCGACTTGTGGTTTATCGCAAATTTCATGACTTCAATAAATCTATGCAACATGCTTAGCACTCTTGGGCCAGATGAACAGAACAACTTTGGAATCTTTTCACTCACTTCAAAGGAATTGACTCTGAAGAAAAGACGGTCGGCCACCAGGGATCGTCAGGGGATCATACAAAACGCTAGAAAGTGCGGTCTGTACAGCCTCTGTTCAATATGTTCATAGTGAAGAATGGTAGGAATACTTACGAATGGATAGACAGCGTGAAATGCAGAAGTTCGAAGCTTCAAGATATGAAACTTTTTTTGTGACCTGCGTCCCCTCCTCTGCGGGGATGTTAATGCATGCGGCTCTAAGTACGTATCAATTTCGAGAGCGGTTTGCAGACACAGTTACAAGACTACGCCGGGCCAAAATCAATAGGTCAACTAATGCCTTAAACCTTATCGAACAGAGACTCTCATTGATGCAGGAAGGCTTTACCCCTCACTCGATATATAATCATTAATCTATTGTCATACGAAAGCCCAAAACATAAGAAATCAACATGGGCCGTTTCTTATCCAGCTCTCCTGAAAATAGAGTTATGGGTGATTTTATCTAAACACGATATCAGTTGCGCGACATGAAAAAGCTTGGAATAAGGGATCGTTTACATTTATTGCCATAATCTTGCTCTGTAATACACAACGATGAATCATCTGTATTCATTTTTTTGCGTAATCTCCTACCAAAAACACGTTTTTTCAGCTAATGTCCTTACCCCTCTGTAGAAAATGATTTAGAGTAAAAAGTCGGTCAATGCTGAATCCCCGTTCCGTGAGCTAGCTTTCTGAGTGTATACAGATTATTAGATGGAACTCTTGCGCTCCTAGATGGGATGGAAATTTTCACTATTAGCTTGCTTCTTCAATGTCATGGCTGTAATGGATCGCGGGCGCAAGACTTTCGGAAGCTGGAAGCTAAATGCCTCAATATCAAACATGCCTTTCGATACCAGAACACAATGAATATATACCGTTTGGTAGGAAGAGCTGCTAGTGAAAAAGTCATGTTTTGTCTAATTCTATTCTTATGTTGTAAAAAGAAGAAGTCTTATTTTGTACTTCAGATGTTGCCGAAAGTTGAAAGATCAGGAATTCTAGTTTCATTCTAGTTTCTTTATCGTGCTTTTCTACAAAACCCACCATCGCTCAAGCCAATCTTCATGTTTCGCTTGTTTCTTTCCCGAGAATTTGCATTCATATATAATACAACGCAAAATTGAAAAGGCAGAAATCATTTAATTCTCTGAGTATATTTCTAATCAAAGCCATGTGCGCGTGACAAACAAGGGGTGTAGAACATGAGTTTCTTACAGCGAACGCTAGGCTATGGTATTAGAAAATGCAACTACGTGTTAGCTTAGCACCAGCTGGTGTTTTTACCGACAGAAAGTTTACCTTCTACCATTAGTGTTCAATTCTGCTGCTTTTTATTGACGCTCTGCCTCATCTGAGGTGAAAGGGGTCTCAGGTGACTCAAAAGCAAAGGGGATGAGAACCATTGCTTTACTTATCGCAACTCCAACCGATTAGCCCTTTGAGCAGATAGAGCGATGCGTTCGCGTCTATGCAGTACTCCAATCTGTGTCAGGCTTGTATCCACTTTTCTGTATAAGCGATAGCGTCAATGATCGATCCATCTCTGCGATATGTATCCCAGTCGACCTTCGGTTGTACGATTTTTTCCAATCTAGTTTGGGCCAAATCAGTATGACGGGCTTTGTCCTCGCAAGAGTTCGCTTGTAGCAACGAGACAGTCTACCACTAGGTTCCTGAGAAAGTTCGTTCGCAACCTTCTTAAGAAATGGAAACTTCTTGTTTCCTTGTCTGGTTTGCTTGTTTTCAATCCTCAAAAGCATGATTTATGGTTTACATAAGAGTATCTTACTGTTGGAGGTTTTACTCAGCATACATTGCATAGATAGAAGCGATAGAAGAAAATTGCCCAAACTTCGATTTTTCTGCGTTTAACTGTAAAAATATCCGAAACTTGCAATAAAAATCGGAGCAGTTGATGTCATAGGTTTTATTGCTTGCTCTTTCTGACTGAGCAAAGATTGTGATTGGTTGTTTCTGTTAAAGTTATGGTTTGGAAAGCAAGCAGTACAAAACACCAAATTTGATTTTTTAGCCCTTTTTCGAATATCACAACTATTCACAAGAACAATCAATCAGCACCTTTGCTCAGTAGTAAGCAATAGA